GAGCTTTGAGGTCGTGCTGGCTGACTTCTACATAGAAGGGGTCTCCTTTACACAATGGGTGACACCTTATCATGTTGGGATAAAGGTGGAACAGCTGTGGTCCCCATGCGTCTCAGTGTCCCTTAGGGAACCAGTCCCTGTACTCCTGCCAGCAGACAATGTCTCCACAGGGCTTAACCAGGCCAGGGGGCAGATTCCATGAGCCCCACTGATTCCCCGTCTTCCTGCCAGTTCCCGAACCAGAAGAGGCTTGTTTGTGAAAGACTCTTGTGAGAGAATGAAAAGACAAGCCACATACTCAGAGAAATATTTACAGAATACATGGGCAATACAAGACTCGGATCTAAAACATGCAAAGAATTCTTTTAAGACAGCTTTATGGAGTTATAATTCACCCATTTAAAGTGTACTACTCAGTGTTTTGGAGGTTTTGTATATTATTAATTTTTTAAAGTTGTGGGAAAGTAGAACAAAATTTACCATCTTAACCATTTCTAAGTGTACAGTTAAGTGGCATGAAGTGTATTCACAGAATTGTGTCATCATCCCAAACAGAAACTCTGTATCCATTAAGCAAAACTCACCATGCCCATCTCAGCCCTTAGCGATCTCTAATCTACTTTCTACAGGAGCCTGGCTGGCTCCATTGGTGGAGCGTACAACTCATCATCTCGGGGTTGTGAGTTCGAGCTCCACGTCGGGTGTAGAGATTACTGAAAATAAATAAATAAATAAATCTCTAATCTACTTTCTGTCTCTATGACTTTGCCTATTTTAGGTATTTTGTGTAAGTGGAATCATGTATCTGTCCTTTCCTATCTGGCTTATTTCACTTAGCATGCTGTTGTCAGCGTTCATCCACGAAGTAGCATGGATCAGAATTTCATTCCTCTTTGTGTTTGAATAAACCCTCACTGCACACATACGCATCTCGTTGGTCTGTTCATATGTTGGGTTGATTCCATCTTGAAGATATTGTCGATAATGCTGCATTGGGTGTTGGTGTACCAGTGTCTGTTCAAGTCCTTGATTTCAGTTCCTTCTGGAATATACGTGGGTGTGGAATTCCTGGGGTCTTACGGTGGTAGTTCTAGGTTTAGCTTTTGGTGGGCCTGCTAATACTTTCCGTTCCTACCAGCAGCGTACGAGGGTTTTATTTTTTCCACATCTTCATCGACACTTGTTATTTACTACTGTAAATTACTATTTACTATTGTTGCTTTTATTCCATCCACCTCCATGGGTGTGAAACGACATCTCTCTCTAGTTTTGATTTTGCATTTTCCTGATGAATGATGCTGACGTTTTTTCCATGTACTAGTGGTGATTTATGAATATTCTTTGGAGAAATGTACTTCCAAATTGCTTATTTGCCCATTTTTCAATGGCATTGCTTTCTGTTGAATGTTCTGCTGTAGCAATTATTCATAGATTCTAGATATTAAATGCCTTACGCTATTTCCAGATGCTTTTCCCATTCTGTGGGTTGTCTGTTCACTTTCTTTTTTTAACTTTTTTTTTAATAGATTTTATTTCTCAGAGAGAAAGAGAAAAAGCAGGGTGAGTGGCAAGCAGAGAGAGAAGCAGACTCCCCACTGAGCAGGGAGCCCGATAAGGGACTCCATCCCAGGACCCTGGAATCATGACCTGAGCCGAAGGCAGAGGCTTAACTGACTGAGCCACCCAGGCGTCCCTGTTCACTTTCTTGATAGTGTCCTTTTTGTATGAAAATTTTTAAATGAAGTCAATTTACCTAATTTTTCCTTTGTACTAATGCTTCTGGTATCATATCTAAGAATTCATTGCTAAATCCAAAGTCATAAAGATTTACCCCTATGTTTCCTTCCAAGAGTTTTATGATTTAAGCTCTTATATTTTAGGTTATTGATCCATTTTTAGTTAATTTTTGTATTGGGTGTGAGGTAGGGATCCTAGTTTATTCTTTTGCGTGTGGAAATGCACTTGCCCCAGCACCAACTCTTTAAGAAGCTGTTCTCTCCTCCATTGAATGGATTTGATGTCCTTGTAAAAAATCAATTGCCATAGATGTGTGAGTTTATTTCTGAACTCTTGATTCTAGTCTGTCAATCTATTTATCTGTCTTTATGCAGTACCACACTGTTTTGATTACTGTAGCTTTGTATTACATTTCAAAATCTTCTTTTTAAAAAATGGTTTTGGTTGTTCAGGGCCCTTGTTATTACATATGATTTTGAGGACTGGCTTCTCTATTTCTGCAGGAAAGGCCATTTGAATTCTGACATGGGTTGCATTGAAACTGTCGATCAAAGAATTCTTAAGACTCAACAATAAAACAACAAAACAAAAAATGGGCAAAAAATCTGAATAGATAACTCACCAAAAGATAGACAGATGGAAAATAAGCATATGAAAAAAAATCCTCAGCATCAATATGCCAATAGGGAATTGCAAATTAAAACAATAATAGCATGCCACACCATATCTATTATAGTGACTAAAATTTTAAGAACTGACACCACCCAATGCTAGAGACGGTGTGAAACAAGAGAAATTCAGTGGCTGCTGGTGGGAATGCAAAGTAGTGAAGCCACTTTAGAAAACCATTTGGCAGTTTCTTTAAAAAGCTAAACATAGTCTTACCATATGGTCCAGCAATTGCACTCCTATGTATTTACCCAACTGATTTGAAAACTCATGTCCACACAAAACCTGCCCATGAATATTTATAGCAACTTTATTTATATTCACCAAAAGCTGGAAGCAACCAAGATGAATAGATAAATGGGGAAACAAACCACAGTAAAACCAGACTGTGGAATGTCATCCCATGATGAAAAGAAAGGAGTTATAGGGGCAGCTGGGTGGCTCAGAGTGGGAGCCTGCTTCTTTCTCTGCTATTCCCCCCACCTTGCTTGGTCTCTCTCTCTCTCAAATAAATTAATAAGATCTTTAGAAAAGAAATGCATTATGAAGCCACAAAAATGGATGGATGAAACTTTACATGCTTATGGCTATGTGAAAGAAGCTTGTCTGAAATGGCTACACACTGTGTGATCCCAGTGGTTTCACGTTCTGGAAAAGGCAAAACTGTACAGACGGTGTAAAAAAAAATTCAGTAGTGGGGCACCTGGGTGGCTCAGTGGGTTAAGCCTCTGCCTTCAGCTCGGGTCATGATCTCAAGGTGCTGGGATTGAGCCCCACATTGGGCTCCCTGCTCAGCAGAGAGCCTGCTTCCCCCTCTCTCTTTGCCTGCCTCTCTGCCTACTTGCGATATCTCTCTGTGACAAATAAATAAAATATTTAAAAAAAAAAAAAAAAGAATACTTGCCAGAGGTCCAAGGCAAGGAAGGGAGGGATTGATAGATAAAGCACATGCTGTCATGATAGATTCATGATATTATGCATTTGTCAAAACTCATAGAACTTTACAGTACAAAGAATGGATCTTAATGTATCCAGATTTTCTCAAATCATTTAGTAGGTTGTTGGATCCCACGAAAGAAGGCAGATTGTGACAGGAGACTATAACTGTGTTATAAATGTATGATACAACTTCAGTGAAGGGGGTAGAAGGAAAAGTGATGACCTGAGTAACTTGGGAAATAAGTGGAGTTTCTAAGACTGAAGGCAAAAGGAACAGCTCGTAAGCACTATACTCTGGTGTACTAAGTTGATTCCCCTTGCGGCGTAAGGTAACAATTCTGATACTTCTCTGTGTGTGTGCTGGAATCTAGTAACTAAGTACATAGACGGCAGGTGGGGGTAGCTGAGTCTCTCCTGGGTGGAGTGAGAATTTACAGATTAGCGAAGTGGTGAGGCTAGAATGACCCATGTGGTAATGGAATAGAGACATTTGGATGAAGTTATGTTTAGCTTAGTATAGATTCATTTCCTTGCTCTTTCAGCTGAGAGGAACTAGGAACAACAAAACCCCATAGCACATTTATTAAATAGAGCCCAGATCTTGGGTTCTAATGCCATGCTCCAAGGAAGGAATCAGACCTCACTGGGGAAAAAATGGCTGATTCTAGGACTAGGGTAGGCAATATACAAGATGGGCTTGGAGCATACTGTGCCAGAAAGTAAGAAGTAGAGGAAAGAGAGGAAAGACAGAAAGGGAAGAAAGAGAGAAGGAGAGAGAGAAAGAAAGAAAGAAAGAAGGGAAAGAAGGGAGGGAGGAAGGGAAAGAGGGAGGGATGAAGAAAGGAAGGGAAAGGAAGAGAAGGGAAGGTAAAGGAGGGAGGAAAGGGAAGGTAGGGAGGGAGGAAGGGAAGAAGGAGGAAGGGAGGGAATGATGAAGGAAGGAAGGAAGGGAGGAAGGAAGGAAGGAAGGAAGGAAGGAAGGATGGATGGAAGGGAAGGGAGGGAGGAAGGAAAGAAGGGAAAGGGAAGGGGGGAGGGAAGGAAGGAAGAAAGGGAGGAAAAGAAAAGGAGGAAGGAAGAGAGAGAAGGAAGGGAGGGAAGGGGGAGGTAAAGGGGAGGAGGAAGGAAGGACTTAAGAGAATATGTTAAAGGGACACAAGGAACTGACTGAAAGAGTTCCCAGTGGCCAAAGCTGGAAAAATTTGAGTAAAAAAATAAACAAAGCAGAATTGGATTATAATCCAAAGTTTAAAATAAATACCCACAAGTCCCTTTTCATATAGACAAGTGATTGAATAAAGATACATGGGGGAGAAGAGACAAATCTCCCATGTGGAAGAGTTCTGAAAAAGGAGTCGCTTTACAGCAGAGAACACTGGCAAGCACAACCCAGCCTGGTGATGAAGGTCGTGATCAAGGTTGATATCAACAGTGATAAGTCATGTTGAGAGTATGGCTCTCGATCTGATGTGAGTAAAATGGCCTTTCACCTCTGCAGTCTTCCTTCTAAAACCCCATAACCCCACTGAGTCATGAGAAAAACATGAGACCAATGCCAGCAGAAGGTGAATTTTGGCTCTCTGCTGATGGGACCTCCCTGCTCCTCAGTTTCACGCATATCCCTTCATGGGTGTGTTTCTTTCTTGTTCTCTCAGGGGATGGCATTTACACTGGAAGAAAGGCTGCAGCTTGGAATCCACGGCCTGATCCCCCCCTGCTTCCTGAGCCAGGACGTCCAGCTCCTTCGGATCATGAGATACTACGAGCGGCAGCAGAGCGACCTGGACAAGTCAGTGCCTAGAGTCTGCTCCCTCTACCCAAGCCCCAAGTTCAGCTGTCTCCTGCGGCACACGGGTTGTCTGGTAGTCTCCAGGAGGAGAGGCTGAGAGCCCCTGAGAGATCCCAGCGCCAGTCCCAGCCCCAGCCCCAGGCCATCTCCCTGAGGGACTGGGCTTGTTAGGACTGAGGCATAGTCAGAACTGGGAAGGGAGACTGACTTCCAACAGGTGCAATCTGGTTGGTCCTCTGGGAAGTGGTGGCACCCGAGTCGGCCCGAGAAGCACAGTTAGGGTTTCATCAGACAGCGGTAGGGTTCATAAAAGGCATTTCACTCAGCAGTAATAAGGGGAGCGAGTGGGACAAGTGTGTCGGGAGAGTGGTCCATGGTCCAGGTCCCTAGAATAAGGGGAATGTTGTGGGGAGCAAAGTGGAAATGCACAGCAACACCTCAGAGAGGACCAAGGATATCCTATGTTAGAGGTTTATGGGAACTGTAACCAACCCTGCCACCGCTCTGGGTTCTCCTAGGGAGGATATTCCATGGAGAGCCAACTGAGGGATCACAAGGTCAGCTTCGTCAGTTTCCCTACAGAAGGTCGTGACCTCCCAGTCTCATGGCTATGAACTGGTACAGCCAGGATTCGAACACAGTTCTCTCTGGAGTCTGCCTTTAACTGCTCTGCTATGCCACAGCTGAAGGCCTTGGCACTTAATGGCTACAAGACTAGACCCCAGTGTCAGACTAAGTTCCAATCCTCATTCTACCACTTAATAGCAAAAATTACCCCTCACTGGGTCATTCCTCATTTGTACGATGTGTAGATCAGTGGTATCAAACTCATACGTTTATGATGAGGCTTAAGTGCATTAGTATTCTAACACGCTCAGAACACTTACACAGTAACTGTAACTTACAACAGGAGGCCCTTTGCAAAAGCTTGTAAAATAAATACGGCACCTTGCTATGGGCTTCAGTGGAAATTTAGGGGGAGGATATGGGTTCCCCCTACATATCTGTAGAGCTTAATGGCCAAGATTTGGGGTTGTTGATGGTGTGGCTGTCCTCCTGGGGGTAGAGCTCAGCAGAGTGTTAGGGTGATCCTGTTCCCACCTTCCTGTGCTCCCCTCACAGTAGCCACTGCTTCCAAGTGGTAGTGAATGAGGAAATCTCGGCCTACTCCCCCCACCCCCCCACCCCTGCATTCCTGAAGGGCTGAATGCTGTGGATATCACGCCCATGAACTCCAAGGCCATACTGCAGCTCAGGTCAGATATTCACTCCCTCTTGTTTATTCTACCCACACTGGGTCTTGCTACATCACCCTGAAGAGCCAACCAGAACGTACACAATGAATTCAACCGACAGCATTACATGCTCTAACTTTGAACAACCTGAGCTTCCCTCTTCTGTTAAATTTACAAAGAATTAAAGTCTAACGTGAAATCCTCTTTGTTCATACCTCTCTGGGTTTTTTCAGCTAGATAGAACTTACCTATATAGCGGGGAAGACATGGCGGGCCCCGGGAGCAGGAGACCTGCCTGATCGTGGGAGTTCCAGAGAGCTTGTTCCTGGCGCTCTGCTGACTTCTCTGACCCACTGACCCACTGACTTCTCTGACCCACTCATTCCCAGAATTCCTTATTTCAGCAGGTGCTCAGGGAAATGCTAAGGAAGCTCCCCAGCTTCTTCTGGGTAAGGGTAATGGTATGCTGGTAAATGTTTACTGACTGGTTTTGGGGCACCAAGGGAGCCCTGATTTGTAGCATTTGCCCATTTCCATGATGTGAATATTCCCAACCGTGACCAATTTCAAGTTACCAACTAGACATCACTGAATGTAGAACTGGGAAGAGATGTGTGTAAATGACTACTGAGGACAAGAATGCTTCCACCAGTAATGAGCTGAGATGCTGGCTTTTCTAAGCAGAAATCCTCCCTTCCTTCTAAACACTATTTTTAGCTCTGGACCAGTGCCTTTGGGAAGGAAGGAGAGACTGAGGCCCCAAGAAGTCATGTGGCTTCCCCAGAGTCACAAAACTAGGAAACAGCAGAGCCGGGATTCAAACCTAGGACCCTGTTACCACACCCAGGGATCATTGCCCTATGGGAACATCACTCTCACCCATTCCATGCCAGGGTTCAAATGCCTGCAGGCTCTCCTAAGCTGTTGTTCAGGAAGGGTGTGATGTCAGTAGTCATCTGCACCGCATCATGAATTTCAGACCCTGGGTCTTTTTTCTCCTAGGGTTTTTGCATTTTCAGGACTGTGAAATGAAAGGCTGTTTTCTTGGCTTCGTGATGTTAGGCTTCAGGGAACAGGTGAGAAAGAGATTTTTTTGGAGCGTGCCTTCTGAGGTCAGGTGGTACTCAGACACTTGTGAGCTCTGGTTGTGACAGGAACCAGCCACGTGGGGTGGGAAAGCCCAATGCAGACATCACTGGTGTGTTCGGTATCTTCCTGGACCCCACTCCGTCCCAGCCTGGTTGTCTTTTCTCAATGTCCACATAGTGATAACATAACTAACCGTCTGGCACCGTGGTTGAGATTCGAGAATCAGATTGCTTAGACTCAAGTCCCTACTCTGCCACGAGACCTTGGGGGAGCAATTTCATCTCTCTGTGCCTAGTCTCCTTATCTCTAAAAAGTAGTCAGCATTTTAGTACCTGCCTCATAAGTCCTTGGGAGTTTTAAATGAATTAATGTAAAATATTTAGAATTGTGCCTATGCCATGAATAAGAGTAAGTACTATAAGACAGATGATTCTCTCCTCATTTCATAGAAGATGAGACTCATGCTGAGGAGAGATGGTGATTTTCCCATGAACGTGTCATTGTACGTAGCCTAGTGGGAGTCCTGGGTCTTTGCATCAAGGGCCCTTTGTGCTCCCACCTGTAGGGCCCAGGTGACCAGCTTGGTTCTTGTCTCCCTTTCCAAGGTACATCATTCTCATGACACTCCAGGACCGCAACGAGAAGCTCTTCTACCGCGTGCTGACGTCAGACGTGGAGAAATTCATGCCCATCGTGTATACTCCCACCGTGGGGCTGGCCTGTCAGCACTACGGCCTGACCTTCCGCAGGCCCCGGTGAGCCATCCTGGGGCACGGGCTCAGGGAGGGGCTGTCTCCTCAATGGGAATCAATTCTTTCCTCTGACCTTGCTTAATGGTACTCTGGAGGCTGTGCCTGACTGAGCCAGAGGCTTGACAAGACATTTGATTTTAAGCACTTGCTCAGAAAATTACCCCAGGCACAGAGCAATGAGTGGAGAGAGTATGGAAGCAAGGGGAGAGCGGAGCTCCTCCCCCCTCCAGATGATAAATGCCCAACATATTGTTCAAAGTTGTCCTGAGAGGTATTTCGGATTGGTTTTCTCTCATTATCCACCTAAACCACCACCCCCGCCCCCACTTTTCTGGTCATCTCCACAGCATTGACAGCTCTCTTACCAATTCAGGCCAATGAATAATGGAGTGTTGGATACCAAAGACTGAATTCTTCTGCTGACTCAGAGAACCAGTATTCATTCCTTTATTGGGGCTTGACTCAGATTCCACTTAAAATGTCATTTTGTTAGGCAAAAATTTGGCATTAGGTTTTCTTTAATAGACAAAGAATTTGAGGGCAGCTTTCTAAAAAGATTGCTTTTTTTTTTGGTTTTTGGGGTTTTTTTTTGTTTTGTTTTGTTTTCCATGATGAGTTTAGAAGATATATTTTTAAAAGTATATTAAAAAAGGAAAAATGGGAGTATTTTCCAAAAATCCTCAGCACAAGGTGCCTGGTAATTATCAATACGTATTTCTAACACTGACAGTAAAAAAAGAGACCTGCATTTATTATATGTAATGGGACATTGTTTTGGTCTGTGTTAGAACATGTAAAGATATAGTGTATTGTGCAGAGATGTGTCATTTATGTTTCTATAGAATTTATAAATCTGTGTGTATATATCATTTGATGTATGATGAACATGGAATCATGGATCTCAAACATCTTTTGTTAATTTGGGAAAAAACGGTCTTCCTGCGCTGATGACAGCATTTGGGCTGAGCCTTGCAGGCTGAGAGCCCAGGGACTAATGCTGGTTCCCCTCCTTCCTTTTCTGGCCCTATATCACCCTTGGCAGAGGGCAGTGTATCAGACCTCATGTTGTGGGGGGTTGTGCAGCTGTGGATGCCCACAAGTCCTCACCCCTCGAAATAGCCATGCTCCTGCCGTCCTGTGGGGGGCGCTTCATCGGGTTCCAGAGCAATTCTAGTCTTCAACCTCTCTTTCAACAGGAAAGAGACTCCTTTTTTCTTATTCTCATTCCAAAACCCGTCCTGGCAGAGACCTTGGAAACTGACCGTATCTTTCTGAAGATGCAGGACACTATTTACCACCCAGTCCCTACTCAGAAATGATCCCCCAGGCCCTCCCTCTTGCCCAGTGCAGGTCAGCTCATGTTTCTCCTCCAAGGCCTTAAGCAGCCTTCAAGGCTGAAAGAAACAAGTCCAGCACTTTGACAAGAGCGAGTCTGTCACAGGTCAACTCCTACTCAGAAATCCCATGCCTTAGCTACTCTAATCTGTTCCCCATGCCCAAGGACGCCTGGCACTCCACCTCTCCGCTCCTTCACACTCGTGGTCCTCTCCGCCTCCCACATCTGCCTGCTCTCCTCTCCTCATTCTCTGTCCATCAGAATGGAGGCTAGACTTTCAAGTCCCCCAAGATTAGGCTTCTCTGTCTTCCCTGATCCCCGCTGGGTGGAACGGCTCATGCCCCCCTCGTACTCCCCCTTAAGTCATCACACATACTTCTAGTCCATAGTTATAGTTTTCATGCTTAATGTTTTTAATTATGTGTATATCAGCTGTCTCTACCAGAACGCAAATTTCTTAAGAGGGCTGGAAACACATCAGATCCATTTGTGTGGACTAGACCAGTACTGGGCAAGCACTTGACACTCTAATGGGAAAGCTGCATTGCATACTGGCTAGGAAGACCTAGGTCTTTGCTGTTGGCTGTGAGTTTTAGTCTCCTTGATGTTAGGCATGTTCCTTATCCTCTCTCAGCCTTAATTTCCACATTTATGAAATGCAGGTAACAATACTACCTACTTCAGATATCATTGTGAGGGTAAAATGTGAGGCATGGATAAGGGACCTGGCATAAATGTGAGTGTCCATTTGCCTTCAGTGACCGTTACAGGAAGAAGGAAGAATTGCTAAACATAGAGTCATATTATATACAGATGCCGTTACATTTTTTAAAAGAAAATGGAGTCATTGAACACTTAAGGAACTCACAGGTTGACCTACACACACGATTTGGCTCTTCCAGAACTCATTGTTTCCTGAAATCCTTTAGCCATAGCTCACGGCCGCTACTGGTTTGCAGCTAAGATCCTGTGGAAATGCAAGCCTTCCCGCTCCCAGGCTGTGTGGGAGCCCTTCTCCACAGACTCCATGGATTAGGTGGTAGATTTAGTTGTGGGCTCCAGATGAACTAGTAATAGGGTCAGGATCCTGCATACCCGGTAGGATTTGCCTCCAGAACCCACTCTAGAATCCAGGGAACACACAAAGCAAAACTTGAGTTCATGAACATTTATGGAGCAGCTATTGGGCGCTGGGCATCAAGAAATTACCCCCAAAGAATGAAATACGGTTCTTGACCTCCAGCAAATCCCTAGCACAATGAGGGGACAGGAAATAATGATAAGTTAAATATAATAAAAGTTAAAAAAAAAAAAGAGAGAGAGAGATTTAATAGAGACAAAGAACTACATGGGAGTACATGGGAGGGAGAAATTTATTTTCCCTGGGGGCAGTAGGATTGCGTCACAGAAGAGATGATATTTGAGCTGGTCCAGGAGAATGACTGGGAGTTCCATGAGTAAAGAAGGAGGAATGGCCATTCCAGGAAAGGGCTTGGTTTTGTAGACACCTATGTAGTCAGCCTGCTTGGGTTTCTCCCTATCGCCTGTGCCGGCAAGGAGTGTAAGGTAGTGGGGTAGGGGAGCTAGGCTTATATTGGATCCTCCCAGTGTCCTGTCAGGTTAGTTTGGTAGCAGTATCTCCATTTCCCAGACGGGGAAACTGAGGTAGCCAGAGGAAAGGAACTTGTCCAACATCACAGTTTAGCAACCAGTGAAGTTAGAATTCTGACCACGAGAATCAGGGAAAGCCACATCAAAGACATGCCATTTGAGCTGGGCCATAAAAGGTGAAAGCAAAGAATGGAGGCAAAATTATTTGTTGACCCAGGCACATCCACCTTTCCGCTTGCTAGAATGTAAGGCCTCTGGGACCTCGTGGTGGGTGAAACGGGAGAATAGAGAGATAGGAGAATTGACCAGTGTCTCTGCCCAAAAAGAAGAAAGTGCTTGGTTCCCTTCCCACCCAAGCCCAAGGGGTTGGAGTCACGGGGAGCCGTGTCACTTGGGTTCAGGCCCCATTGGCAGTTCTCCAGTGGGTCAGCAATGGAGAGGCACGTGGCAGCCGAGTAAGGGGTTCATAAGGGTGGAAACAGGATCTTGCCATCAACTCCAGCCCAGAGAACCAGGTCAGCCCTGAGTGGGTGCAGTCAGTGTACTACAGAAGCTAGACACATAGCGTGGAAAACAAGGCATGTTGTCATCCCCGCAGACCTGCAGTTACCCAGAGCAGAAGAGGGTGATAATCACAATGCATGTCTGCTGAAGGCCAGGTACTAACTATCCTAAGGTCTTTATATATATGATCTCATTTAATTAGCACAATCCCCTAACAGGTGGGTATGACTATCATCCCACTTGTAGATGGAGAAACTGAGGCACGGAGAAATGACTTGCCCAAAGTCACACAGCTCATACCCAGCAAGGCCTGTGTGCCAACCCATGCAGTGTGAACCGGAATGTGGACGGGTACCACCAAGCTCCACTGCCTGCTGCGGTCTGGGAGTGGTCCCATTTGGTGGGCTTTTGGGGCTCCAGGAATATTTGATCACTAGATCCTGTTTGCTGAGCCTCTCTTGGAAGAGAATGGGCTGGAGGCTGTGTGGGGCTGAGGCAGGCATGGGCAGACTGAACTGTGTTCTTGGATTCTTCCCTCACACTCCTGGTACAGACTTCCCGCATGTGTTTTGCACAAACCTTCCTTCAGATGATTACCCAACGAAACTATTTGACATGTGACATCTGAGCTGTTGCTCCAGGTTTCCATTTGGCCGCTTTCCAGGTGTTGATTCCACACCTGCCTCACTCTTGAAGGAATTGAGAATACAGGCTCCACCTCAGCCCTGAGCTACCTCTGAGGCCTGGCTTGGAACGGCTTTATGGATTAGCATCTGAAAGGAGGACAGCCCCAAGGCCAAGAGGGAGAGAGCCAGCTCCTTCTGGGTTTCTGAAATGATAAACATTCCTGCCAGGTTCCCAGGAACAATGGAGTCCTCTGTGAAAGGGCCTACCCCCCTCCAAACTAACTAATCAGGTCCAGCCGATGCTAAAATTGAACTTCCAACGTGCTTCTGCATCGCCTCACCACCTTGAGGGAGATGCTGGGCTATTTCATGGGCACCTGAATATCCCTAGGCAGTTAAACACGGCAGAAGGTTCTGGGCTTTGTGGAGCCTTCCTTCTCCTCCTTTGGCACACCCTCTGCGTGTGCCTCTGTGGGCCATAGATCCTACAGAGCCTGGCTTGAAGCAAGGCCTTTGAGTGTCATTAACATGTGACTCAGAAGAGGAGCAAGCCCTGGGGGAGCCCAGGCAGGAGTCCAAAATGCAACTCAGATAAGGAGGGGGCTGTGGGGAAGCCACTATGGGTGTAAGACTGCTGTCCAGTGAGAGGGAATCCCCTCCCTCCCCCAGGCACCTCCATCTTGACCAAACTGGTCAACTCTGGATCACAGGAACTGTCCACCTCCTGGGGACATCGTAAAGGTCAGAGGAGCTCAACGTGTGTGAATGTGCTTTCTCCATTGTCCAGTTCCTCACAAGCTTACACCTTGTCTTCACCGCCCTCCTCTTGCGCTCTGAGAGATGTGCACATCCCTGGAACCCTAACATCACCCACCCACTGTGTGTGGTCCCACCTGGATGGGTGATGAGGGCTACGTTGTAGGAAG